ACGATAAAAGTTCTAAATACACGAAAGTGGAGTAACGTCAATCAGTGTATCAATCATTATGAGTGAATATTAGTTTTAATTTAAATTTTCATTTCTTTTCCTTCTACTTCTACAAAACTTTCAAAATTTGCCCTATACGCTTTCAATATTCATACCATCTTTTGTATTGTTATATTAGATTAAAAAAAATATAAAATAATATTAATAATATATTAAATTACGATTGTTAAAAAGATGACGTCAAGGATATTAACATCCAACAAATATTTGTTTTTTTTTTTATTTTTTATGGAATTAAAGTTATTTAATAATTAAAGTTACTAATTTAAGTTTATTTTTTTATTTATTTTACTATTTAATGGTTTTAGTCTTGAACTTCTACTCTTTTTTTTAATTTCACACACACACACACACATATATATATATATATATATATATAGGGTTAGGTTTTTTTGTTTTTACTAACTATTGTGTGTCAGAATGTACAGATCTGGACCACCAGATGGAATTAAATCAAAGGTCATGATCTGAGGGTCTATGATATTACAATAGGGTAACATGTACCATATAATCATACAAATTTCAGCATAAGGGTCATTTTAGTCAATTGAGACAAAATTAAAAAAGGAAAAATTGAGATTTATGGGATAATTAATGATTTTGATTTAAAAAATCTGATTTTTTTTTCAAATTAATTCAATTTCAAACGTAATTTGTAAGCATAAACCGATCTTATTCTATCAGAATGTCATTTTGTTAGAATGATGTTTTGTAATTCTGTCAGAATGGTATACAACTATGAACATAATATTATAAACACATATTATCAAGACTAATAATTTTCAATGAATACAAATTTTATATAAGACGAAGTTTAATAGTTTAGAATCAGTAATTACATTCATTCTTAAAGAATACAACTATGAACATAAATTACATTCATTATTGAAATCTCTTGCAAAAAAAATATCGACATTCTTGAAAGAATCCTCATTCACTTTCTTGTTTCATTCCTAGATGTCTTGTGTATGTTTAACCTCTAAGCCACTTCAAAATATGCTAGCATTCTATGAGATTAACATTTTGTGAGATTGACATTCTGTCAGAATTGTATTGTATGAGAATGATTTTATACAAGGAGCTGCAAAAGGAGATAAACTCGAAGATGGTAAGTGATCCCCAGGTAAAAGTTGAAACATAACATAAGAAACAAAAATCATGTTAACACATCAGCCAATTGTTTTACAACCCTTGCAAAATCATTCTTATGTGATTCTACCATAATCATTCTTATGTGATTATACCGGAAATACAATTCTGGCAGAATCATTCTTATGTGATTCTCCAAGATTATAATACTCTCTACACATTATTCAAATAGAAGAATACATTAGATACAAAATATTCTTAAAGAATGAAATAATTATTCTTAAAGAATGAAACAATTGGAGATAAGAATAAACACCCAATGATGAGGAAAGAAAGTCATTCTCACAGAACTAGCTTAATTAGCTTAAAGGGAATATACTGTAGAATGAATTCAAATTTCACAAAAATAAGCTCATTTTAAAATACAAATTATACTAGCAAGAAGGAAAAGAAAAGGCTAGAGCAGTGCCAAAATGTTCTCTAGAAACTATACCTTCAAGAATGCAAACCCCAACTCTAATCGTTATAAAAATCTAAAACTAAAAGTTGAAATTGTAGAAATTGGCTAGTTGGAAGAACGAAGAAAAAAACTTGTTTTCTATGGAATGGAATTGCAAGACTAGAAGATTACTTGGTCTCTATGAAAAACTAGGAACATTAGACCTTCTGTCGATCTATGAAAAAAAATAAGTCACGTTGATATAAAACAGGATATAAGAGAGAGACTAGGTCAAATATATTTATTTTATTTCCTTAATTGCGTGATTTCAATTAAATGATCCTTTAATTAAAAGTACAAAAGGTCCAAAATACCATTAAATGATTTATTTAATTATTTATTATTTCTTAACTTCTCATTGATGCATTTAGAAACACAATAGCTGTTATAAACATTTGAACCTAGCTCTCTCTCTCTCTATATATATATATATATATATTATATATATATATATATATATATATATATATATATATATATATATATATATATATATATATATATATATATGCTAATTACTAATGATGGTGGTTATGTCTAATTTTCTTTAACTAAAATCATAAAGAATCAGAAGATATACTATAAAATTAGTAAATATACTATAAAATCATAATAACATAATCATTTTCTCTGTTACTAAAAAAATAACAAAATAATTTAGAATTCGGTTATTATGAATAATAAAAATAATCATTTTCTCTACATATAAACGAACTGAACAAACAAGAACAAATGTCTGTTTATTTGCGTTCGTTTAATTTAACCGAACAAATAAAAAAGTAAACGAAAACGAATTGAACGAATACAAACAAAGGTTTATTTATATTCCTTCATTTAGACTTGTCTATTTAGAAATTTAAATGTATTTAACTCAATAATCATTTAGAACATTATGATTATGATTAGTTTACTATTTTAACTGTAAATATATATGAGCTTGATAGAAATTTATAGTAGTTTATTGCAATCAGTCAAAATCATGATCACTTTTACACGATACATTCGTGCCAATAAAAGGATACTTTATAGTAGTTTACTCGCCGAAAAAAACAAATCACCGAAACAAACTATTCACACCCGTCGCTTGACGTGGGTAAAAGGCTACTATATATATATATATATATATATATATATATATATATATATATATATATATATATATATATATATATATATATTACATTTGCAAATGAAAATTATGTAAGATTAAGATAATGATAAAATTTCTAAAATCCTTAAAAATAAATCAAGTTAAAAGTTGAATTTTAAAAACTTTGGACGACTACAACCCATATATGATACAAAAAGATGTAGTACGGTGATACCTAAGTTTATATACTTTGTTGTATATATATATATATATATATTAATATATATATATATATATATATATATATATATATATATATATATATATATATATATCAAGTAAAGTTATTGAAATTTGACTGAATAAAATTTATAATGGTGTGTATTGTAACTTGCATCTAAGCTAAAGGAACTAAAATCAAAAAATATAAAAAGAATTGAAATTGCCAAAATAACAAATGTGATGGGATTGATTGTAATCATTGATTATACACGAATTTATTCGTGCTAATAGGAGCACCCAATCACGAAACAATACTTGTGATAGATAGTCATTGACATGTACAGAATTTTGTTCAAAAGTCTCTTATTGCACTATCCAATGAGCATATTTTTTGATGCAGAGATCTCATAAATACTCATGACAAACGGTCATATAAGAGACTAGGGTTTAGAGGTAGCAAAACGTCTAGGTTGTAAACGAACCTAAATTTTAGTGATCCGTTCAGCGTAAATTACGTTTATTTAATTAACGAATGAATAGGAACAATATATTTCATGCTTTTAGTTCAACAAATGAACGATGAATTTGGGTTCTAGAACTCCGTTTATGTTTATTTATTAATCATTGTTTATGTTTGTTTATGTTCACTTGTTTATGTTCTATATGTTTATTTATAATCACTAGTTTTATACATTATGTTAGTAGCCTAATCGCTCAAACTGAGGAACCCATATCATTATATCATTTGTATCTTTATGTTTATTTGTATTCTTTAATGTTCATTTATTTATGTTATTTTATATTCATTATTGATTGTTTGTTTATGATTGTTTAACATTATGGGTAAAAATTTATGACACGACACAATAAAAATACATGACACGAAACGAAATTATGACAAAATTGAAATTTGAATTTTTGTTCTTGTCGAATGTAAAAAACACGATCTCGTATCATGTCGTGTACATATTCAAAATTCGATACGGAATTAACACGATTTAGCATTTTTGTCGTATTTTTCGTATTTGTCGTGTTATGTATGATTAAGTATTAATTAATTAAACTAATTTTTATGTTATGTTATCCTTTTCGTGTCGTATCATGTTTGTCGTTTTCTAATTGGTTCGTTTTCGTGATAGTTAAAAAAAATAACATTGTATCGTGTCGTGTTCGTGTTACGTAAAACCTTATCGTGTCGTGTCGTGTCAGACAAAAATACGAGACGACCAGGGCCGGTCCAGACGGTGGACAACCCGGGCGACCGCCCAGGGCCCATGTCTCCAGGGGGCCCAAAATTTATGGGCTATGTAGTGTACATATTAAAAAAAAAATTACCTAAATGATTTTTAGGACGTAAAATTTGTTCAAACTCAAATTAGCTCCAAAGATAAACAATTTGGCTCAAAAGATAAACAATTTGGTTTGCTTGTTATTGCTAATTGAACACGTCTATGTCGAAAAGTAAATGATATTTTTTTTAATCTTTTATATTTGTCTTTGAGGAGCCTTTTTTTTTTCTTTTCGCCCCGGACCCCATATACGTTTGGATCGGACATGGACACGACGGCGCGATTTGCCACTCCTATTTAACATCCTAATGAACAAACACCAATGAATATTGACAAAGTAATTTTTTAAAGATAAAACACACGAACAAGAAAATACATTCATATATATGTTCGCATTTGCTTTGTTCATTTGTTTGGAATTAATTTAAAATGACAAATTTGAATACTTTTTTTTTATCATTGCTCTCTTTTCTAATTGCATATCAAATACCATATTTAGCCTTTTAGGAATTAATCCAAAATGACAAATTTGAATACATGTTACAAGAATAATATATGCATCTTTTGATCAAAACACCCAATGTGTAAAATCAATGTTATTGACAAAATACTATATCATATCATCGCAATTGAAAGATTAAGGACTAAACTCGCGAATATTCATAAAATATGTACCCAAGTGCAAAATAACCAACTCTTGAAACTGCGAGTATATAAAGGTTGTGTGGGCATGATAAAGTTTCAAATTGTGGAGTGATAGAATCACACTAATTACTATACACACTCAATATACATATATATAAGCTTCAATGGGGTGGCTAGAGTTTTACAAGCCATTAATGGTTATGGTGGTGTTGCAATTTACATATGGAGCAGTCTCCATATCAACTAGAGCTTCTCTCTTGGAAGGAATGAACCCCAGAATTTTTGTCGTCTATAGACAAGCTATTGCTGCTTTAGTTATTGCCCCTATTGCTTATTTTTCGAGGTATATTTGATGTTGTCTTAATATAAATATTATCTAACAACTTCTTTTTAATATTCACGAATTCTTTTAGTTTAGAATAAGAAGATAACGACCTACATTTCTGATTTAAATTTTTTGTGTGGGTGTTGTAGGAGCAAAACGAAATGTTCCATTGGATGGAAGAGCTTTTCATTGATCTTTATTGCTGCTTTGATAGGGTAAAAAAATTTTTACCAAAGTTTTAAGTCGGTATTTAAAGGTTGTGTAGAGAAAATAAATAGTGTTTCTTGTATCTTTTGTGCAGAATAACAACCAGCCAAATGATCTTCTTAGAAGGATTGTACTTAGCCTCATCGTCGGCAGGAAGTGCCATGTTCAATCTTGTCCCCGCCATCACCTTTGTTGCAGCAGCCATTGTTGGGTACGTACTTCAATTTTCTCTAAAAAAGTCATTCCAAAATGCTACAAAAATCATAGTCTTATTTAAATTTTATGAAACTTAATTTGTAGATACGAACCAATAAATATTCGAAGCTTGAGAACCGTTGCTAAGATTTTAGGGACGGTTGTGTGTGTCACTGGTGCTGCTACAATGGCACTCATCAAAGGCCAAAAACTTCTAAATGCACAACTGCCTTCATCGCATTCTTTGTTATTGACTTCAACTGAAAGTGATAATCTTTGGCTTTTGGGTTGTTTATGTCTCTTTGGCAGCAGTTGTTGCTGGTCGTTTTGGCTAATTATTCAGGTGTGTATTAATGATTTACCTTCTGTCGCGAAAGATGTGTCGCGTGTGTATTCTGTTGTTTTAGTTATGAAGTTTGTTATAATAATACAGGTACCCGTCACTAGAAACTATCCCGACCACTTGTCTTTATCAGCTTGGATGTGTTGTATTGCAACGGTACAATCCGCGGTGGTTACCATGTTTACAGATCCAGACTTGGAAGCTTGGAAAGTTACCTCTTATTTGCAACTTGGATCTTTGTTATATGCGGTAATTTAATTATATTCGTTACATATTTTAATTTAAGATGTCTTGTCCCATGTCATTTATACAACCCTTGTATTAGAGTCCCAAAGTCATATGGACTAGGGTTAGAAGGTTATAGCATTAATTCATATGGATTATGGTTTAAGGAATATGACATTAAGTCACATGGGTTAAGGTTAACAGGTTATAGTATTCATATGTGTTAGGGTTAAAATGTTATAACTTAAATTCCAATGTAGATCGGTCTACTTGTGAACATTGGGTTCTTATGTTAGCCACCTAAGCCACCTAGCTGTTGTCTACATGCTTCAAATGTTTACTTTTAGAAATGGTCAAAAGTTCGAGTCTCACTAGCCGGAGTATAAGAATTTCAACTTTAATGTGGATTGAGCTCCTAGTAGTCACTAAATGGACTCTTATGTCAATTACATAGTGGGTCATTATGTACATGCATTGTATTTCAAGTGATGCTCCTAGGACCGGGTAGTGTAGGCTTGGAAAGTGGTTGAAAACTTATAACATATTTTCCACGGTTTATTTATGTTCAGGGTATTGTTGGTTCGGGAATTTCTATATTTGCGCAATCGTGGATAATCCAAAAGAGGGGTCCTGTGTTTTCGGCAATGTTCAATCCTTTAAACACAGTCATTGTGACATTTTTTGCTTCTATATTTCTACAAGAACAAATATATGTGGGGAGGTTAGTGGAATTAAATATAAACCATACACATTGTTGCATGTTGTCAGAAACGCAATGGCAACATTATAATTTCCTTTTCTCATAATAACATCAACTTCTTTTTTTAAACTTTAGCGTGATAGGTGCAGCTGCAATCGTGATTGGACTGTATGTCGTGTTGTGGGGTAAAGCCAAAGATCTCGAGGAACTAAAAGAAGAACAACAGAAGAAGGCTATGATTTCGAAAAACAATCAAATCAAAGTCGTTCAAGTTTTGGTTGATAAATCTAGCATCGAGGAACCCCTTTTGCCCAAAGAAAGTAACAAATTCTGATTGTTGATGATGAGGTTCTGAAAGCCATGCCCAATACGATTATAATTATATGAAATATATATATATATATATATATATATATATATATATATATATATATATATATATATATATATATATATATATATAAGCCTAATTGCAAGTTATGAACAAATGAATGGTTCATATTGAAAATGTTGTTTTCTAATGAATTACTAGTAATGATACATCATATAACAAACCAACAACTATGTTCCTTGTGGTTTATAAATTTGCCAAATCAAGGTTGTTAATTGAATCCATACTTTATATTTTCTTGATGTGATCTGAAAGTCATACATAATATGATCATAATTATTTATATTACAATATAGTCTAATTATAAGTTACAAACAAATAAATGATTCATACTAAGAGTGTTGCAAGGATTCGATAATTTATTGGTTGTCCAGTGTATTACTAGTAATAAATCATAAAACAAATCATCAACTATATTTCGTTTGGTTTATAATTTTTACCAAATCAAGGTTGTTATTCTAATCCATATTATATTTTTAAATTAGCCACCAACGAAATTACGCATAAAAGGTCAAGATCTAGATCTTGGAATGTTGCAATGATTATGACTTTGGTTAGTATGTTCTCCTATGCATCTTTTTTCAGCATATATTTTTCATATTATAAAATTGCTCAAAAATGTATTTTGATGGTTTCATCATGCTTTTATGATTCAGCGGTGTCGGGTTTTTCATGTTCCGACAACATGAGTTTAAGATTTCATTATCGTAATAATTTCTGTTAGAAAATTAAAATAGTATTAAAAACTGTCGGTGGTGCTGTATACACGTGGCAATTTCAGTCCATATATTTATTCTTTTTTGTTCTATTTAATTTCCCTATTTCTTTACTTGGCAATTTTAGTCGCTTCATTTTCATATAAATTAACTAAGTATTAAAATTTCATTTTGATCATCTCCACTTTTAATTTTATAATGTTATTTTGGTTCCTTTTATTTTCTAAACATTTTTGTTTATCCTTATATAAAATATAATCCGATTTTCCTTAATAATTTTTGTTCTTTAAATTATTATAAAAAAATTAATTGTTTATTTTTATGTATGTGTCGGCATGAATTCAATGTATTGAACATTTCGATGTAAATTTAGAACTTTCGTTACTTTTTTTTATGTGTGTGTCGTTATAAATTCGAGTATTTCTACGTTTCGACTTAAAACTTTTTTTTACGTTTTCAAGCTTATTTTTATGTACGTTTCATTGCTTCCTACGTATAAGTTAGATTACATATAATACGTTTTTTTATTGTTTAAACGTTCGTTCATTAACTTTAAAAAATCTCACTTGCTTGTTTTTTTATGTATGGGTCGTTATAAACTACGTTTCGACATAAATTTTGTGTACGTTTTTCGTTATTGTTTTTATGTACCTTTCTTTCGTATGAGTGTGGTCACATATAAAACATTTTCATTTTATGGTATAAATTGAAGTTAGTTAGTGGTACCGACCTTTAGTCGATGTTTTCACCTACACTTGTCACCCTTCAACTTTGTGAAATAACACTTTTCATCCTTCTATTTTGTAAAATGTCACTTTTAGTCTCCCGACTTAGAAGTTTCTAAAATATCAATTTCACCCCTTAATTTTCTAAAGTTCCTAGTTTAACCTCCATAGTTTATATAATATTATTTTCCTACAGTTATCACCCCTCAACTCTGTCAAATGTCACTCAAAACCTTTCAGCTTTGAACTTGGTTAAATATCACTTTTATCCTCTCGACTTTCTAATTTTTCATGTCACATCCACCGACAGTTTACTCAGTCGTATCGACCTTGTATCTTTATCTACCAAGAAATGTAACGATAGCTAACATTTATCAATATAATTGTCAAAATTCAATTTACAAGATGTATTGGCGATGCCACAACGTGCAGAGGGCAAAATAATTATATGGATATTGACAAAATTGATTAAAATGAATAAAGGATTTAATTCAAATAAGCAATTCTTTTGTGTGTTGGGAAAATAATATTTTTGTCCGAAAGGAGTTATCCATATATTTTGGATTAATTTTATGTCATGATAAAACTATTTTTTTCTAACAAAACAAAATACATTTTCGTCATACATTATAGATTGACATTCCTGATTTCAGATTTTGGATACAAAAAAAAAAATAACAAAAAAACTATTCTATAATTCTAAGAACAAGTCTGATAAACATTTTTAATTTCTAGAAAATAGTTTGTTTTTTACTAAAGGGAAATTGATCTCGTAGCACAATCAAGTTTGGTGTTTCTTCCGTATTGGTCATTAAAGTCATTTTTGCCAAATAGATCCTTAAAGTTAAATTTTACCTATTAAATAGGGGTTTGACCCCCAAACTAACAGGTTTCTAGGTTATCTCCATTTACTTGCATCCTAGGTGGCAAAATATGTTTAACTTCTTCAACCCAGTAAAGCAACAATGATAACCCACGCCCTCAAAAGACTTATCAGTCGACCGGCATTGCATTGTACCCCAGAACTCGAACGCCTCTCTTGTCTTGTCTCTTAAATCGATGCTAGCATCTCCCTTTTTATCTTCAATCGATCGTAGGACTCAAAATCATACCCATTCTCTTTCTTTTACTCCCTCCACAAAATCTTCAAATCTCACTCCTCCTTCTTCGTGTTTTCTGGTTTCACTCAAGCATCCCGCTCCGGTTAGCGTTAAGTTGATCTTTGAGAATTCTAAACTTATGCTCTACATAAATTGAAGTATCATCGGTCCTCCATAGAGCTGCCAGAGAAATATGCAAAGATGCACCATCAGCCATGGTCACCCATGTTTCACTCACCTTTTTTTCACGCATAAAATATTCTCCGAAAACCGTTGATGAATCAAGATTTGAAGCTTTCATACTTCACTTTCCACATCCTATGTAACATCCCAATTTTCACAAAAAAAAAGTTTGAATTTTTAATTCAAATAAAAGATGTCATATGTTAAAGTATCATCATAAAAACCATTTGTTCCAAAAGTTTACATTCCAAAATCAGAGTATGATCACAAGGGCGGAATCACAAAATACGAAGTTGTCGATATATGTACAGTCACGCTTTCGCCTTCCCACGATCATCTGAGGTAGCTGAAACATTTAATCTACAATTGTAAGCCAACGTATAGTGAGTTCCCCAAAATACCATACACCACAATATAAATACAAGCACACAAACATTGGCCTTCAGTCCACGACTGGTCTGCCCTATCGCCTACAACATAAGATGGTTTGCACCTGGCCTTTAGCATAATGGTGGTCCGTCTGATTATCTTGGCCTACTGCATAAAGCAGGATTGGCCTCAACTCACCACCATATATGTCGTCATATATAACACACAGACAAACAAACAATACAGTAGCACATGCAACTATCTAACTAGTCTACATGTCTAGCATCTCACTACAACAAGTTCACATCACATAAGGGCTCACACTTCATACTATGCTACAACTGGCAATCACCAAATGAATGCATAGTTATATGTAATCAGAGATAAGATAGACAGTCAAACAGGTGGTCCTATTCCAAAGCCACAACCAAACAAGGAACAAGCAAGAAAGCCTAGATCAAGAGTTCTCAAGGTATCTTACATTAATACATACAAACCCTACATCATTTACTACGATGATCACCAACCCTATTGATACTCTAACAAGCATACCACTACTCCCTTATATCATGTCATGCAATGATATACATTGTAACACATGGTATAGTGAGGAAACTCACTTGAGTTAAGCAGCAGAAGCTCAACAGCAGCCTCAGAAGCAGAACAACTAAAGCAAGCTACCTAATGCCAAACCGAAACCATCCCTTGGTCAAACACCCAATTCTACTCAAGTTTGACCAAAAATCAAACGTCAAAATTCAATGGTCATTGGTCAAACCGCGACGTGGCAGCTACACGATAGGATAGTCACAATCGAAACCTGTCACCACGTTGTGGTGAACATCCAAAATAACCTAATGGACTAAGCACTTAATCCTTAATCTCCAAAGCTCAAAATCTCAGATCCGATGACTCTAATGGTCTTAATGGATAAAGTTGTTGGATAAGGTGTCTAAGTCCATAACTTATTTGGTATATACTTGACCCGACCCGGCATGGTCCATTTGGGTTGCACTTCACCCAAACTGTTTATGGATAATTTTATGAGAATTGTATACTTACGATTTATTAATATATTATAAGTTATAATATATTAATATAAAGTCATGTTATTTAATTAGTTTTAATCTTGAATTAATTATGAATTGATTTAGTGATTAAAAGGAAGACTAATTAAATCATGGGCTATTATATTTATATGGTGTGGGCTAATACTCATTTGTTAATGGGCTAAGCTTATGTGGAAGTCCATGGATGATCCATGGAGCTTTTAACCCATGGATCCTTGGAAAGGAAAAGACATGGGTTATTAGGGTTTCACCCTAACCATGCACACTATATAAACAAGCTCATGTTGCATGAAATAACACCATATAGTGTGTGTGTAATAGTGGTTGCCGATTTCTAAGTGTTAGTATACTCTCTCATACATTTTCCAAGTTTGTGGTGATTTGTGATTTCCATTTGAGGCATTCACATTATTGGTGCTTGGCTCTCAAACTCCAACGAATCAGCAATCAACAAAAGGTATGTAATTCATCTAGTTCTTTTATGTTTAAAAGTACCCCATGCCATGCTAGATAGGTTATAAACCTTGGAAATTAATATTTTGCATGTACCTTAGACAAACATAGATCCAAGGTTTATTAGGGTTGCATGTACACTTAGGAAGTGTTAGAATGCTCAAAACCCAACAGTGGTATCAGAGCCTAGGCTTGTTTGTTTGATACTTGATGCAAAATAGTGAAAAAAGTCGAATTTTTTGTTGTCTGCCTGATGAACTCGCCGAGTCCATGGGGGGACTCGTCGAGTTCATGAGTAAATTCATCATACTCGGCGAGTAGGTTCGTGCACTCGGCGAGTAGGAGCCTCAGAATGCAGATTTTCGACTT